TTGAACATGGTGGATCTTTCCACAGTTTTTTGTATGTTTACCGGGTATATCATATAAATTTATGGGAATTATGATTATGGAGATATCAAATGAACCATATAAGTATAACCAAATACTGTTTTTTTTTTCCGATTTATGGAAATATCATATAAATATTATAAATCACATGGACATATGATAATATTATATAAATATAAGGATATTACTTGACTAACCAATATAAACAATATATTCATATGGGAATATAATAATAGCCCATGGGAATATGTTTATGGAGATATCATACGGGAATATCATAGCATGGATCCAAGTACCTTCTCATAGAAAGTGTTTTTTTTTGATTTTGCGGAGTTAGCCGTACCCCCTCAGAAGGTGTTTGGAAATAGGAATAACAGATGAGGATACATAATAATATATCTGGGTAAATTATAACGACCTCACTGCGACCTCACTGGAATCCTGGTTAGTAAGGGGAATCATCCCTAAATGGCCTTAATTCAGGTTAGTGAAATATTATAATTTACCCATATATATACATATATATATATATAACTTGACTAACTAACAATTGATATTTGGGATTTGTGTCTGAAAATTGGGGATTGACCATTGACCCACCCCAATTTTAGTGTCATTTTAATATGGAGCATGGTGATTATGCAGGGGATTGGGTTTGATTTTCCCAAACAAATTCAGACAAAGTCAAGTGTTTTAGGTTCCTATATATATATATATACATATCATATAGGTGTTTTTTGTCCAAAGATGTGAGCTTTATAGCGGTCCAATTTTATGGCAACTTTCAGATTTCTGTGATATGAACTACTTATTAGAAAAAATAGTAGATACCAAGAATAAATGTGGTTGGAAACAACATGGGGATCTAAACAACATTTTTTTTGGATTTCAGGTCTGGTAAAGATGTAGCCTGTTGGGAACATGGTCGATGTGAGATCTTAAGCCATGCAATCTTCTGGGCATCCGAGTTTGACGCCCAAATCGTGAGAATGGCATCGAGAAAGATGTACAGTAGCTGATCGAATCCGCCAAGTTGAGGTCCCAGAAATGGTTGAAATGAAATTTTCTAACCGGAAACCTGGTATTTGGTGGCAACAAAAACTTACCATTTGAAATTTGGTTATTTTTGGTTATTTAACATAGCCATGGAAAATCCCTTATAAATGGAGGTTTTAATGGGAAACACATCTATAAATGGGCAATTTTCCATGGCTATGTTAAATAACCAGAGGGTAAACCAATCCAGTGATAAACGGATTTTGGTTTCATCATGCAGAACTTTAAAACGATGAAGGGTCATACAGGTCATGATATGCATATCTCTTGTCCATTGCTGTTGGTCACGTGTACAACACTTTATTCCAAATGACTATAAATGCCCGGCTTTGTCACAATTGGGTATTGTAATCCAAATGAAAATCCCGAATCACAACATAAAATAAGAATGGATGATCTCTTTCAAAAGGGGTGGTACCATATTTTGAAATCCCTCAGGATAGGTTATTGCACATCGCCAACACGATAGATCTTCGGAAAGTAGTACTAAAATCGTCACAACAAAAACTTTTCTGATCGTTCCCACCTGTTGGGGGGTTGCTATAAATCATCCATCGCATCTTCTTCCCCGTTGTTTTTTCCCACGCAGGAAAGATCCATGTTCATGGCCGATTGCCGCAGTCTTGTGCTGAGACCTACCTGCAGATGAACAGATGGCGTTCCAACAGAAAATGCCAATTCAATTCTGACTGATTTGAGGAAGTCAAATTGATACCTGGGATAAGTGATGATTTTCCAGCGGTTTTAACCGCAAAGGTCGAATGGATTTCCTCAAGAGAAAAAACACAAACAACATATCGTGATTTTACCACCCCAATCTACTGTAAGTGTTTTTGAAGGGCATGAACGAACAGTAATATACATGCAGTAATACAGTAATATAAATCTGAAAGCTTATGAAAGCCTTGTTTGAAGGTTGCACATCACGCAGCTGGTGGTGGCTCATTTGGGCCAGTGTATCGGCACGGTGGTGTCCATTCCTACAGGTGAAAAGCGACGGGTCACCCTTGGTCAAGCTGAAGTCAGAGAATACCGGGTGCAGGTACAGCGGTTTCGGTCGGCGGTTGCATTGGTCGGAACTGAAGGGCAAATTCACAGGAAATACTCTTATCATCTCTTATCACTGGGAAAAGAAGGGTTTCCTTGATCAAAATGTTTTTTTTTTTTTGAAACCTATCCAAAATGAAGAGAATTAAGAGCCCTTCTGGAGTGGCAGCCGGCCTTTTTGCCTCCCTGGTCACCACCAGGGAAGGTTGGCAAACCGGTTACGACTTTCATGGGAACATTATATTAATTATATATAATAAATTATAAGCCATCATAAACTCATAAACCATTAAATTCGCGGAAACCTTATTTGTAGAGAAAGCCACATTGCTTTGCTGCTTCGTATCTAGTATATCTATACGTACACTGACACTTATACCATTTTATACCAGTAATATACTACTATTTCATTTTTGGGTAAAGGTTGCACTCTGCCAGATATATGTGAGACACAAAATAGCTTTGACACCAGCACAAATATGAGAACAACTGTTCTTCTGCTGAAACTAGATCGGTACATCCGCGAAATCGCTGACATGTCCTTCCGATGGATCCCCACTCTGGTAAATTGATGTAATTTGTGCCAAGTTAGAGTTCTGGGCATGAAAAACATCGAACATAATATTCTATTCTATTCTACGAAACCGAGTATGCTAATGAACAGGACTTCTTTCTTGGTGTGACAGACCGGCTTTTGGGGAGGTGCCCATCTAACCAGGGGCTCAACCTTCGTTGAAAAGTAGGGTGAACCAGCGAGTAGTCCCTACTGGGATGATGATGATGATGATGATGACGATGACGATGACGATGACGATGATGATGATGATGATGATGATGATGATGATGATGATGCATATGCATCATCCCAATGACCACTGTATTGGGTAGGGTTGGACCAATAAGCACCAAGCAACTGTCATTTGCGGCCAGATGACTCAATCGCGGAGTTTCTGAGGGGCCGTGTCTAGCTTCGTTACGAACGAAGGTCGCCTAGCTTCTTTCCTTCCAACAATCATGGAAGTGGGAAAGTATCTATTGGAGGGTAGCACCTCACCAAGCAGGAGATTCACTGATTTTTCTGGGTTCATCCATATTAATGGTGACTCCTTGAGGTCGTCTTGCCATGTCTTGCCATGTCTTGCCGCATCCAACAAGATCAACAAGAGATGGCGGCCATGGTCAAAGCGTCCACCATGGTTCGGGGGCATCATTCTTATATTTCCATTGGATTTCTTTCCATTTGATTTATATGTATTATATTGTATTATGTGATTTGATCTTTCTGGGTCCAAATAAAAAAATGATCCAAGCTGAATAGAATGAACGAGGCAGCTTTGAAGTCTGAACCCTTGGCATCCATGATTGTTGCGAGATCAAACGTGCACTCTCACCGCTGCCAGTGCACTCTGACCGCAGCGTGAGAAAACCGTACGCGGAACTAGTGGCCACGCCGCACCAGTCGGGTTCAGTGGCAGCCCTGACACTGTCTCCACGACTGTCTGCACTACCGTTAGAAGCTCTGCTTTTTGAACCCAAAGGATCTGGCTGCCCATCTTGGGGAGTGGGACACCGTGGCAGCAATGGCAGTGTGCATGCAGGCTTCCAGTTTGAGCCAGAATTTTTATGATGGGTGCGATTCACAGCTGTGATCATGAAGTTGTTGAAGAACTGTTGACCCATGTTGACATATGTTGACCCTATCCAACTGGCTGTTGACAAAATGGGGCAATCTGAGAAGATCTAAGATGATCTGAGCTGGGTAAATTATAACGACCTCACTGCGACCTCACAATAATCATGGTTAGTAAGGGAAATCATCCCCAAATGGCCTTAATTCAGATTAGTGAAATATTATAATTTACCCAGATCTGAGATGAACGAGGACTTTCCTCAAGGGAATGAACCTCCGCATTCATCCCACGTTGCACGCGAGGGGCGACATCTGTTGGGTCGACCAAGGGGGCATGGGGTGGATGGCTGGGGCAGAAACTGGGGAAACTTGAAACACAGCAAACATATTATAATATATATTAATATATGTATAATTATAATCAATATATATATAATTATATATATGTGTATATATATATGTATATATATATATTAAATTATCTTAATTCATATCATGTTATAATTATCCATTCATTGCAGGTGAATGCCATGGTGTATCCGATTCAGTCACTTGCAACACATCCATATATCTTCAAGGTTTCATCATGTTTTAACCGTCGACTCGCTGCTGCAATGTGTGATGCCGTGACAAAGCTTCAGCCTCGTGAAAAAGTTGTTGCTGAGGGATCCCCCCAAATGGATGGTTTCGTATGGTTTGGTACAATCAAACCCTACTTTTATGGTCTTTTATGCTTATTATTCAGCCATGCGCGACGGGTCGCTGTATCCCCGTAGTACCGGGGCAAACTCAGTACTTTCACCAGTTGCCGTCGTTTAGCAAAGCAAAGCGCCTCAACTCCACGCATTTTTTGCTCGCTATCTCATCCAGTTGTTACTACGTGGTGTACATGTACATAGAGGGTTTATTGAATTCGTCCACACCATAGTATCATAATATATCATAATGTAATAGTAAAATTGCAAGTAATTTTACTGGAATATAAATATACTCGTACCAGATCAACCAGTACTATCCAGTGATATAGTATATACTAGTAATTAGATCAATTACTATGAATATGACTAATGATCTATATATAAATATGTATATCATATCATATTATTAGCATATTTATTAGCTATATTATATATATAATTATATATATATTAATATTTGCATATATTAACTATATGATATTCATTGATATTCCACATCTTCTCCTTTCCCCATGTTTGTTGGCCGGGTGGCTACTGCGCCAGTGCGCCAGGTCCCGGACGAGCGCCTGGAGACTTTGGCAACTCTGGCGAAGTCGGAGAAAATTATCCATGAGGCAGCGCCTCAATGGCCCAAGCGCCCCTCGGGTCTCTGGAGATTTTATGATCATGGGTGATTTACAGAATCTGGTTATGACTAACATCGCCATGGTATTTCGATGGCCCTAATCGAAATAGAGGTTTACCTAAATATAAAAAATGGTGATTTACATTGATTTACTGGTGCGTTTTACGTCATGGATGGGACTGGGGTTTGCTGGGATGATTATTGATAGTGATTATGGATCATTTCCATGGGTCATTTAGCCTCTGGTAAATTAACCTGGTTGGCGGTGACTGGAACCATGGGATTTTATGACTTTCCAGAAACAGTTGGGAATGGAATGTCATGATCCCAAGTGACTCATATTTTTCAGAGGGGTAGGTCAACCACCAACCAGACACTTTGACCCTGACTATAACAAAACGATTGTAGTGGAAACTATTGGAAACTCATCTTGTTTCAGGCCCTATCTGGCAGGGTCGAACTGTTAATTTACTGGAGGCATCTGGAGGCTAAGTATGGGTCAATTTTTTTCAGACCTGGGGGACCACAGATATCCACAGATTGATGTGTCGATGTTTAGACCCATCTCTATGGATTTATCATCCGCTCAATTCATAGAGGAAGATCATGGGGAAAATCATGGGGATAATCATTGAGCATTTCTGGTATTTTCATTGGAAAATCATCTAGAATCTACCCTCTGGTAAACTATAAACTAACATAACTATGGAAAATCACCATTTTTAATGGGAAAACTCACTATACATGGCCATTTTCAATAGCTATGTTAGTTTACCAGAGGGTAACCAAATGCCGGATTTTCATGGATTTTTCGTGAGCATTGTAATGTGGGACAGGGATGCACAGGGGACTTAACGAACCTGGGTTCATTCACGAACGATGAACTCAGACAAAAAGATGAATATCGTGGGGATATAATTGGGTTAAACCCAATCATGTTACCCTTTGGTGAACTAACATAGCTATGGAAAAACACAATGTTTAATGGGAAAATCCACTATTTCTATGGCCATTTTCAATAGCTATTTTGACATAACCAGAGGGTAGTAAAGCAGTAATAATCCATCCATATTTGGATGGTGTATACCACCCATGTATAGAACAAAAAAGGGGATGGTGGGTCGGTCCTATTGTTTTAACATTCGTCCTACCGTTTGGGGGCCGTTGGAAACCCACCGATGTATGGCATTGGGTGTACCACATTGATAAAATTCTGCGATGACGCATGATAACATACAATAAAATACCTTAAATGGGCGATAACATGCGATGTCATATCTGAAATATGAAGTCATATCATCAAATATGATGCAATGCAATGAAATATGATGAACTAGGATACCATATCAATATGATGAAATTGGCAATTGTTTACTGGACTAAGAGTTATTTGAGGTGATTATAAGGCAGCAGAAAGATTTGTTTTGGGTGTTAGGGATTGATTTGTTTTTTTTGTCATTTTGACGGAACATATTCATGTACGTCTTCCAACCAGCCAACAAATCTGTTTGAAATTATTAGGAGTATCTAATGTGGTAAACCCAATGCCATAAACCTACCAGAATAAGGGGATTGTTTATACAAGCCATTTGTGGTAATTTGGGGGGTGGTTCAGTGCTGGTTTTACTTGGCCATTTTTGGGGGATCTTTGGAGTTGATTTCCCATGGCAACAAAGGAATTTCCAATGTGAACACGAATCTCTACCTGAAATTACGACGAACACTTCTCAACCGCTCAATCAAGAACTACCCTCTGGTAAACTAACATAGCTATTGAACATGGCCAAAGAAATAGTGAGTTTTCCCATTAAACATGGTGATTTTCCATAGCTACGTTAGTCATTACCAGAGGGTAGCATAGCCACGGCTGCAGATGATCGAGTATGTGGACATTGCAGGACTGGTGAGGTGCTCGAAGGGGGCATGTCTGAGGATGGGTCGAAACGTCACCCAGGAACTGTACCACGTGCATTGTTTTTTCTGTGACACAAATAATTATAAATATACTCTATGTAATATAATTATATATATATTATGATATATTATGATATATATATATATGATTAAATATGAACAGGTCATTTCGTGGAGTAGTGACTACTTTGTTTCGACATGTCTTTTTGGTGGTGGATTTCCATCAAGTACATGCCATCCCGATCAATTCAAAGGGCCAACATGGGCCAACACTGGTGACCCCCAAATTGGAAGGTCGACAGTTTCAGGTTTACAGATGTTTACAGCAAAGCTAATAAACAAATCCCAAATCTATGGTTCCCAGTATAGTTTTTGTTGTCGCCCAGGAAAACTTCCCACAGAAACCAAGTTCCCTAGTCACTCAGCGTCGGCCAGGGGCGCTTCCAAAGGAGAAGGCCTTGGAAATCAATTTTTGGGCAACATCCGCAATGTAGGCGCGGCCGGAGGCAGCTCAATCGGAGCTTTTCTGGAAAGTCATGCTGGGGATGGCCATTGTTTGAGTGCCGAAGATGCCAAAACTGGTTGTTCTATGGGTAATCGACCATATACCCTCTGGAAATTTAACATAGCTATTGAACATGGTGCATGTGGATTTTCCCATTGAAAATGGTGGATCTTTCCAGTTCGCTATGTAAACGTTTACCAGAGGCTATGACAATTAATTAATGTTCGGCGCCACTCCGGTAGTGGTTGGGTGCCACTTGTTCCCAGCATTCCCAGCGCACACCCAGCGCGCAGATGCCATCGTGCACGTGATTCGATGCTTTGATGATGAGGATGTTGGAGGCTCAGGATGAGTCTGGGAAGGATCAGCCATAGTTAGTTCAACATGTGAACTGCAGCAAAAATCCACGTTTTTCAATCAACGTGAGTAACTCACTATTAAAAAAAAAAACCTGGATATAAACTCTGTGAAACTTGCCTTGATTCATGGATTCATGATGGATGTTCATGGATATTCATAATTTCACTGATTATGCTCTGGTAAGCTAAGACAACTATGGAAAGATCCACCATTTTCAATGGGTAAATCCACTATTTCTATGGTCATGTTCAATAGCAAACTGTTAGTCATTACCAGAGGGTAAATCCCATGAATATCCCATTGAATCACTATAAATCCCATGAAATCACTATAAAATCCCATTGAATCACTATAAATCCCATGAAATCACTATAAAATCCCATTGAATCACTATAAATCCCATGAAATCACTATAAAATCCCATTGAATCACTATAAATCCCATGAAATCACTATAAAATCCCATTGAATCACTATAAAATCCCATGAAATCACTATAAAATCCCATAAAAATCCCATTACCCAGAGGGTAATTCACTGGTGGAAACTCTCACTGGCCCTAGGTGACCCATGTGGATGGTACCGTAGATCCCGTGCGAGCACCTTGGACCTTGGGCACCCAGGTCCTCGTCAACATTGGAGCAACGAAACTGCCTCGTTTGGTGGTATATAATGTGGTATAATGATGGTTAATACCTGGTTAATGATGGTTGATGATGGTTAATACCTGGGTGATTACCATGGTTAATGATGGTTAATACATGTTAATACATGGTTACCCTCTGGTAAATAAACAGTTGGACCCTGAAAATAGCCAATTTTTAATGGAAACTAGTCTTCCAACCCCGATGACTGCCAGGGTCTATGTTAATTTACCAGAGGGTAATACCTGGGTGATGAAACCCTGGTTAATGATGGTTGATGATGGTTAATACCTGGGTGATTACCATGGTTAATGATGGTTAATACATGTTAATACATGGTTACCCTCTGGTAAATAAACAGTTGGACCCTGAAAATAGCCAATTTTTAATGGAGACTAGTCTTCCAACCCCGATGACTGCCAGGGTCTATGTTAATTTACCAGATGGTAATACCTGGGTGATGAAACCCTGGTTAATGATGGTTGATGATGGTTAATACCTGGGTGATTACCATGGTTAATGATGGTTAATACATGTTAATACATGGTTACCCTCTGGTAAATAAACAGTTGGACCCTGAAAATAGCCAATTTTTAATGGAAACTAGTCTTCCAACCCCGATGACTGCCAGGGTCTATGTTAATTTACCAGAGGGTAATACCTGGGTGATGAAACCCTGGTTAATGATGGTTGATGATGGTTAATACCTGGGTGATTACCATGGTTAATGATGGTTAATACATGTTAATACATGGTTACCCTCTGGTAAATAAACAGTTGGACCCTGAAAATAGCCAATTTTTAATGGAAACTAGTCTTCCAACCCCGATGACTGCCAGGGTCTATGTTAATTTACCAGAGGGTAATACCTGGGTGATGAAACCCTGGTTAATGATGGTTGATGATGGTTAATACCTGGGTGATTACCATGGTTAATGATGGTTAATACATGTTAATACATGGTTACCCTCTGGTAAATAAACAGTTGGACCCTGAAAATAGCCAATTTTTAATGGAAACTAGTCTTCCAACCCCGATGACTGCCAGGGTCTATGTTAATTTACCGGAGGGTAATACCTGGGTGATGAAACCCTGGTTAATGATGGTTGATGATGGTTAATGGTCGCTAATAGTGGTTAATGATCTCGTTGGTGGTGACTGGAACCATGGATTTTTTTTGACTTTCCATATTCAGTTGGGAATGGAATAATGATCCCAACTGACGAACTCATATTTTTCAGAGGGGTAGGTATACCACCAACCAGATATAGTTTCATGGGAAAGTATCCATCAGCCATGGGATATGGCTATGTCAATCTATGTCCGAAAATGGGGCACCAACATGGCATTATTTATACAGAATCTGATGATAAGCCAGGGGATTTAAGGGTATCCTATTTTCAGACAAACATGTTGTTTGGTGAAATGTGTAAGCAAAGATTACGGTTTTCCACTGGACCCAGCTCCCACTGTGAAAATTCTCAGTGCCATGGTCAAAACTCGGAGTGTACAGGATTAGATGATTAGGTCATTACTGTAATCCATGAAGTTACGAGTATATTAATATATATATATATATTAATATACAATTATTATATAGATGCAAATATATATATATACAATAATATTGTAATACCTATATATAATTATACATATATACTGTAATACTTATATACTTATTTATAATCATAATCGACAGCTAAAAAAATACTCATTTGTGTTCATTGTATCTAAGCTGGACCGTGGTTTCAGGTTCGAGATTCTACATTTTTTTCCAGCATCGTCCCTAGATGTCGTAGATGTTCGTACTGGTTGGGTGATATTTGAATTGGGACATTTGATCGCCCGGTTTACTATCCATAATTCAAAAAAAACAATCAAACAAGTAGTTGATTACTAAATTGATTACTCAAATTTACTCATAGTAAATCCATCTATAGTTCCTATACAGAAGTATTCTTAACATTTCTTAAGCACTTGGCATTAGGACATTGAGACGATCAGCTTGGAGCTGATCTTTGCGGACGCCGATCAGGCGAATGGAGGAATTGGATGATTATGAAACTAGTGATGACTGATGGATCATTCCCGAAAATTCCCTGCGTAAAGTTTAGCACCAGTAAGATTTTTGCATATTGAATAGCAAAGACGCTCAAAGGATCATAGACTAGATTCTGATAGATGAATATACAGTAGATGATGCGTAGCTTCTGTTAGATTGTTTTGTTGCGGGTCCTCTCACGTATAATCACGTATATGAACAGAACACATTCTTGCATGTAGGAACTAGGTTTGCACATGTTTGCACTAACCTTCTTAGAAGTTTCCGTTCCGTGCAAGACATATTGTGATACCTTATCCGCCCTATCCAAATCTGGAACAAAAACCCGGATGAACGTCATCCAACGCCAAGAAGTGATCGGTTAAAGAACCAGCTTTGAAGCGGTGCTTCAATGATGGATCGGCCAAATATCATGGTGTTGTCGTGGTGTGTGAATATGTCTGTGGTTTCAAAAGCCTGCTTAGACTAGATGGGTCATGGGATTAGCTATATAAGTGGTTATGTAGTAACTGGCTTATAAGCCACTGTATCCCAATTATTATCCACTTACTAGCTAGTTAACTAACTCAATGGCCCATCTAAGTAGCCCTTGGATCCATTACGCATCTTCCCTTGTAGCAACACCCTGCTGTCCAGTGCACCAAGCGTCTGAAGAAAGTGGAGCGAGAGGTCGTCGGTCAGGCGCGGAATGGGGGGCTGGATGTGGGCGTGCCTGGCGTTCTTTAAACGTTCAGAAGCCACTCGAAACAGCATAGCCATCCCGGAGCTACTGATATTCCCGAATCCCCTGACCCAACTCATGTGAATTGTAATTTGACCCATCTGACCCCAAAGTGATTCTTTATCATCAAAAATTGGACACCAAGAGTTCACCAGTGCTTCAAGAGTTTTCATTCATCTTCATGCAAACTTTCATGAATATGTTAAGTGGTTAAGGTTCATGTTCACATGACTTCTCCAAGAGTTTGATCCCTGTCATCTAATGATTTCGCATCCTTTGCGGCTCCCCGCCGCGAGGTGAAGGGAGCCAAAGAAGAGAAGCAGGTCTGTGCCAGTGGGATCCAGTGGGGCTAGAGAGAGTCGAAATGGAAATGGCTACGGTAACCGTGTGTCTGTGTGTGTAACATCTAAGCAGATGTAAAACTTCTACTTAATGAGTATGGTCCAGTATGGTCATTAAATGCAGGGGGCCACGGCTCCACTCATCAGATGTTTGGAGAGGATATGCAGTCTGATCAACTGCACGTACCTGCAAACCATTTTATTTCACCGGAAATGGCATGCGGTTAAGCCGAGAATCGCACAGATGAATTTTGTTTGCACGTTTGCCGCAATCTGAAATCACCTTGGATCAATAATCCTGTTTAATTGCATGTTTTGGGATTCAGTTCCCGACAGATCACTCCAATGATCCAGGTCTTTTCTAGTGCGTGTGTGTGTGTGTGTGTGAAGATCTTGAAGCTAGCTAAACATATGACTGGTTGATGGCGGGTGATGGGGTTTGAACCCACCAAACAGAGGCCATGTTTGAGCGTTTGAATCTCCAACAATGTGAGAGGTTTCAATAGGCGTCAGACATGATGCTTGTTGGTTGATGGTTGGTGGTTTGCCTAGCACAGCCACGTAAAGGGAGTGCATCATTGTGGGTAGCTTGCATGATTGTTCACTATGCAGGGTCACAGATACAGTACGTGATGGGGCATACATTTGGAACCCCAACATGACAAAAAACCGAAAGGAAGGGAGGGGACAAACTGATATGGTTTTGAAGATTGTTGAATTCCCTCCTCAATGCCATGATTATCCCCAGTTGAGACGTATATTTTTCGGGGCTGACTCTAGTCAACTCTCCTTTTGTTGGCCACGCTATGATCCAGCTTTTCTGGGCACCGCCAAGAAACATACTATCAACATATATCAAGATGTTCTGTTGAATAACCCTCCTGTGATAGCAGTGATTCTACCTGGAAAACAGGCTCTTGAGAAGGTCTTGCTGGCCTTGGAGGCGGTGACGGGAATGGTGGTATGTCGGCGCGTTGCACCGCCCAAAATAACGGACGAGAATTTACCATCAGAGAAACTCATGTGTATTCATGTATTCATATGTATTCTCCACGAAATGGGAGGAATACCAATGAACAATGCCTGGTTATCTTCAGATACTTAGCTCAGGTTTTTCATGGCACTTACCAGTCGTCGATCTTACCTCCAGTAGGAGGATCCCGGCACAGCCATACACAACCAAAAAAAAAGGAACACCTCAACGAGATGGATCACCACAACAGGGATCCTTGTCAATTTGTGGTGGTGGTGATTTCCTCCTAGTTTTTACCGGGTCAAGTTTATGTTTAAATCCTCATGCTATGTTGGCTTTGGCGTATTCGGACATTATGTTGCTGGACCCACTTAAATCCATTTTGTCAATTTCTGGCAGTATATAGTAACCCCATCTAATCCCCCAAAATATCCAAAAGTACAATATGATATTATTAATATGCAAAAGTATATAAACGATTACAAAAGATTGTAAGAGATTGTAAAAGTAAGAGTATATAAAAGTGATTTACCATATTTTTTTCGGGCGGCAAAAAACCCAACTTTCTGCATCTTCTGGGGTAACTACCCCCAGATTCCTCCCAAAAACAGGATGGGAAGCCGGCGCGGGGAGCGGGTCTCTCGGAGCAAGAACTGGAATCCATCAAGGTGGCAAAAGGGGGTGCCCCATGGATGCACCATGACTTAGTCTACCTATGGTGACGACGAAAATGGGATCCCCCATTTTTAAGAACAAAACTTGGGATTCTGAATAGGATTACTGGTTTTAATCATGTCCGAAGGAACATACGTGATAATTGAACCACGAAAAACTCGGATTCTTTTTGGGAGTGTTGGTCAACATTCTCATTTTCGTTGGGGGATTGTTGGTTCGGAACAGAAGTTGGATGAAGTTGGGTTCGGGGTTTCAAATTTATCTATTGTTTTTAACAACCATACGAAAGGGACATCTTCAGATGATATAATGTTTTTTGTTTTTTGGGGATTGGTTAAAGCCACTCTTGCCAGAGAAGTTGGCATGATTTCTGCATTTCTAGTTTCCAACCAACAAATCAACGGAATTGATTCTAATTTCAGACCAAGAGAAATGGGAATGTATATAAAGAACAGTACTGAAATTGAAATCATATCCCAACAAAAATATATACACACATGGTGATTTGACCAACAGAAATGGGGATGAACCAAATCTGTTGGCTTATCTTGACATGATAAATCCCTTAAAACCATGGGCTGACATATTCTAACTGTGCCATATTTGCCCAGAAAGCAACCAGCAATTTTCTTATGTGGGACCAGGTCGAACGACCCACACCCAACCAAATTTCTGGAGAGTTCACACATGACATAACCAATCAATCATAGCTAGCTTAGATAAGTATATCCCATGCGAAGTGATAGTATCATATAATATAATATAGTATAATACATCTCCTAAAACAACTTATCCCCAATAAACCGGTACGGATATCATCTACCAGATGTAAGCATCTTTGAGAGGTGAGAAACTGAGTAGCCGATCATCCACATAATTCTTATATTATTCTTATTGTGTTCTCCAACAAGACTATCCCCGTCAGTCTAGTCTATATGCTGAAGTTTGTTTTGAACACTTTTACCATCTAAGCCTTGCACACCAATGGGTTTGATAATAGTTTAATCATGCTAAGCTGGATAGATAAGCATACGTATTTGGGTTTATTCCTGCTGAAATGTGGTTTTCTTTCTGCAAAACAATCACCATAGATGTCCTTTACCCATTGGTTGGTTGATTAATAGAGGGGTTTGTTTACCCCTTTAACAACAGGTAAATGATGATAGATGCTATACCAAACCGGCCCCTCTATTTTTACCAAAAGGACATTATTGATCACAATTCATCGTAAGATATATCAAAATATATCATATCTCATCAAGAAGGCAGGTTGAACATTTTTTAACTTAGACTAATGAATGTTAACCATACATTTTAGTGAGATTTTACCATATACCATACCTAATACCCACTCATCCACCGGTGGCAACGGAGACGGGCCAGGACCTGTCCTTGCTCTCCTTGAAACCCGTGATCTACGCAGCCAATGTGGCCGAGGTCCGGCAACCAATGGTTCTGGATGGTTTAATGGAAAATCCCAAACAGAAATGGATGACAACTGGAGGTATATCCCTAGACATCCCTAGAATTCCCTAGAAAGTACTAATATCCATTCAACTTTGCTTTCGAGAGTTGCGACTTTTTAGTTTTTGAATGTTTTTGATGTCTCTGATGATTCATCCATTTGTTTTGATTTTCGTAAGTGGTGGATAAAGAATAAAGATTGAACACAAAGACATACATGGTGAATGCTAGGGGGAACACCTGGGTATACATGGGCACAGTACTGTAAACCTTTTGAACGGGGCGTACTTGTTGCCATAATTGAAAGGAACACCCTGATTTTTTCTTGGGCTAATACGGCCACGGCTAATACTTATAAGTTAAGCCGTGCATTTTGTACATGACTCATTATGACTCCCACAAATTATTTGTTGGTGGTGAGGGTTATTCAGTAGAAATCATCTGCAAACAAAACAACAGATGGTCACTGTTGGTGGGCGGCGACTTTGTCCATCATATTACTATAATATATAATACATTATAATACAGCTGATCAAACCATCCGGAAATTCATGGACAATCATGGACATACATCAACATTGAGATATAGGACAGCCCCGAGTCAACGGTGAACACGTTTAAAAAGGGCAGCCACCAACTCAATGAGCCTGGAGAAATCCTGAACACCGCTGAGAGATGTCGAAGAAATGTGGGAACTCGGAACGTTTTGGAACTCGAATAGGTTCTTATAGATGCTGGTTTACTCTTATGTATGTAATTATACACATATGTACACATACATAATATATATATATGATAATATATGTTCATAATATTTGCGTATTTGCAGACATGTTTCCCCACCTGCCATGGTGAGGGTCTCTAGATTTTAGCAAAGGTGCAACTCCTTCTCCTTCACCAGCTTCTCCTTCTTCTCCTCCTTCTTCTCCTTCTCCTTCTTCTCCTTCTCCTTCTTTCTTCTCCTCCTCCTCTTTGTTGTCTTGGTCTCCTTTGCCAGCTCGGGATGCAGCTGGGCCACACCTGGACCTGAACTCCAGCTGCAAACCACCACGCCACTTGAAGTGGAAAAAAGCGCGACGTGAATGCACACTTGGAGTCTGAACAGTTGTCTAAAATGCCACGGTGGGGATCGGTGGGGATCACTCGAATTAAAGCAATCTGCAGCTTCCTCGACAGGATGACCTTGCAACGGGAAACGACTACGTGAAGGCCAGGGAGAAGCCATGGGAGAACCATGAGTGAACCAGCGGTCCAAGATGATTTTTTTTAATATCCTGTAGATTTTCCGAATTGAATGATCATGGAAGTGGGGAACCCTCTTGAAGGTTTATTACGCCCCCAAATGGGCAATTTGTCTGAAAGTTGGTAAACTCATTTCGTCCCATGGTTCGTACATGTTTAAAACCTCCTGTTCGCCCTTATAAAGCAGCCATACATCGGGGTATACCGGTATACCCCATGTTTCTGCCGTCCCATGTCTTTAGCCCCGTTTGGGAATCTCAATTGAATATCTAAAAAAGATAGACAATGATAATGATAGTTCCAAATCCTAGCCTTGGGGTTGATATGGACCTGGGTAGGGTAAATCCCCGATTTATGAATGGTGTTATTTATATAATCTCATCAGTTGTATACCATTATCAATTTTATATACCATTATAATTCATCATACGACCTTTTACCGGATTATATATGAATATTATTGAACATGTGGTTTAAATTGATTTTATTTGTAAATATTGTCATATGTATAACAGGATAGGGCGGTTGTGATATATATATATATATTATACACACGCACATACTGGAAGTTTACACATGACACATGCAACGTTGAATTCCATGGAATCCAAGCATGTTTAACGACGGGTTTTTGATCTTATGGATCTTCAGGTCAACCAATGGATTTTTCTCGTGATTTAAGCAGGATTTAAGCATATTTAGCCATATTTAACCACCAGGACACCAGTGTTGACTCAACAAAGATCTACTGATTTTGTTGCTGAAATCCACTAGGACACGTCCAGATCCCCGACAGCTCCCCCAACGTGACCGGACAGGCGGTGGACGACTTCGCCAAGGATGCCGGAGATCAGGTGGTGGTGGTCTCGGCGCAAGTGGAGGCCAGTTTCTGCAGCAATCACGCAAGTATAAGATTTCTATGAATATAATTGAATATATATATATATATTTTATTTTATATATATTATATATATATAATATATATATATTATATGCGTGTGTGTATTTTTTTGCACAGATATAACGGGATGTATATTATGTTATTATATTATATTATAGTATTTTATGTTATTTTAATTATTATATTATTTTATTTTCTATTCTATACTATTCTCTATGTATATATATATATATATCCAACACAGGGGATCAACAGGATCAACAGCCGATACATGCAGTCTGGGAGTGCCGGTTCTCAGACAAACTCAGATGGGGTCAACGACCGGGACATCAAATGGACGATGTTTGATACAAACATATATCATAATTATATTATATACATATACGTATATGATTTATACTATATATATATATACACACAGTATATTATACTTATATATACATGAATTATATCCATTAATTATATACATACATATGTATGATATATATACTATTAAGTCCACAGAACATGACTTACAATAATTCTGAGGACGGGATCTCATCCCAACATTGCTATGGTACAACTTGCAGCACATTGGTATGTTAAAGGAGAAATCACATATACATATACAATATGTATTATTAGACATAATATTTTACATACGCATAATTGCATAATATATCATTTGATTATACACATACATATACAATATGAATAACAAAAACCGTAATAACAATAACAATAAAACTGCAATAATAATTACAATAGCAGTAATAACAATGCAATAATCAAAATATTTATAGTAATAATATCGAGAATCAATATAAAAACAAAAACAATGTAATGTATGTAATTATACATGTGTATAGTCATTTAAAATCATTTATATATTCTATAATATGATACATATGTAAACATTTTTTCCGAGGTCTCATGGAACTCCTTTTGTCGGTGAGGCCGAGCTGAAAGGTCTCGATGCCGAAGAGCGCGTGGACTATTTGGAGTCGCTGGGAGTCAAGGTGCCACCGGTTTCGGTGCTGTCATCGTTGCAGCCATGGTCCCAAACATGTGGAAATCCCCAAGAAAAAACCCATGGTTTCTGGGGATTATATATGTTAATATACTATATAATGTGATTAATTATTGTATTCAAGAGTTGATGAAACATATATTTTTGGGGGGTCTGAAAGTGATCCCTTATGAAACAATGTGGAAAAACCATTCGACATGGCCCGCAGGATTTGAAGGAAAAAAGAACGACACAGATAGAAACCACGAACAAAAATGCGGACACAAGGATAGAAGGGGTACACATTTTAAAGCTGGTGAGGATGCAATCTGATGGAAGAGCGCTCGAGTTGTCTGCTGGGGCTGGATTTCTTCGGCCATTTTGATGTGGACCCTGGGCACGCTGCGCACGCTGTTCAGGAGAGTGGCTGTGGAAGTTTGGTGCAGGCCACATACAGGAGTGGGTGATGGGACGCTGCCGGGATGAAAATGTTTGGTGGGTCTGGGAACTCTCTCATGACTTACTCATACATGAATGTATATGTCATATACATAAATACATATATATTATATATAATATATACATATATATATATATAAACAGTATACATGGTAAATCTATCTGAACCAGTACGAAAGCCTGCAATTGGGGAAGGTTTATATTACCAATTTCTGCTAAAACTCAGGATGGTTTATTATTGTCTTTACCACGTTGTAGAAGATTAACGGCAGTATGGAGCGAATCCCACCACAGGCTTCATGTTCAACTTCGTGTCCTTTGGAAAGTTTGGGATTGCAGCTCGGATGGTGCGTTAGCTGTTTCTGATCGGTCCAGCAATACGACGCACCCGGCTGGAATTGGCTGCACTTACTTCGTGATCAGCCAAACCATTCCCTCCCTACCATTGTTATACCATCTTTTTGATCATACAAGGTGGTGCCCCATAGTTAGCTAAGTTGGTTTATAAGTCCCATAACTATGGTTTATGGCAGATATATCTACAGTTAATGGGGTTTATAAACCCACTTATAACTGGGGGGCACCATCCTGTAGGTAAAGTCATTCAACACTCGGCCGGAACGACTTTGACTTTCTCAAGATGTTTGGTGTGTTGCTGACGGTCCCCAAAAGCCACCAAAGTTGGTCGCCGAAGTTCAGGACGTTGGGCTTGCGGACCTACTTCACCTGTGGCCCCAAGGACGCGTCCCGGCTGGGTTTTTTACTATTCACAGATACCATTGTTTGATTCTGTGGGTTGAAAAAAAAAACTGGATTCAGGTGAAGTTGGCCGATCTTTAGTAGATCTAGTAGGAAGTGTTCATGTTCGGCCATCTTTTCGGAGGGGTTGCTGGGATGAGGATCCCCAGTGTAGATGATGCGTACAGTATAGACATGTATCATTATGTACATGGATATATATTAGTGTATCCAAGGATATATATATATATACATACACATATAATTATACTACATAAAATTATACATAATATATATATATATTATATTTAGTTATTGTTTAGTATGTGTATTATTTGCCAATCATATTGATAAGTTTGCCTGGGTTGCTTACCTGATGAGGTCACCCCTCTTCCAGGAATCCCGCGCTTGGACAATTCATGAAGGCTGGAAGGCTCCTAAGGCGGGACGTTCCTCATCGGTGAGGGGTTTCCCCTCGTCAAATGTGGGAAAGATCTGGGAACAACTGAACAAAAACATGTGATTTTCTGGTGATCGAATGGTGATTTATCTGTTAAGCATGGGATATACCCTTTTGGTTGACGATTATAGGCTCTTATATCCAAGATATTTTTCAGATGATCACTGTGGGAAAGCCTACTGACTAACCAGCAAAGAAAGGACTTGAAAACTGCTCAGAACTCTGAGGTCTAGGACACTCTCAAAGATGGTGGTTTAACTGGTTTGACTACAGAAAGTGGTGCTTTTACCATCTTTTACCAACAAAATTTGTCAAAAATTGGTGATAGACCCAGTAAATTCACAGGGACATGGAATACTCACCATGAATGTAGATCATTTTCAGGGGGTGACCTATGGACATTGTAGCATTTTAAATCATGGGGATGAGGTTCGAAAGCGAGGTCGGGATACCCAGAAAGACATGTCTGATGGTCAAGCTTTTTGGATGATGGCCCCCAATGCCAAATACTATTCAGATGTATTGAAACCATCAATCAGATTCAATCAGTAGAGTTTGCAGATTCATCTGGATGCAATTGCAAACATGGTGATGAAAGCAACGATGGATAGACGGATGCAGGAAAATCACCGCTACGTGAGTGTCCCTACGCAAGGGGACTTCATAGCGGCCAGGGCTTCAAAGTCATCACAGCTTCATAGCTTTCTCAGCGGCCAAAAACAGGAAGTTTCGCTATGTTTTGCTTAGGGGTCCTTAATGTTTTTTGAACGCATACAGAACACTACAGAACACTTCCAGAAGCATTTAGAGTTGATGTGCTCAGGGTACAACTCTGTCACTCAGAAAACCATCCAAGAATTTGGATAGATGTGGCCAGGCAGCAGGAGTCATCCACACCGACTTCGAGAAAGGCTTCATCAAGGTGGGGTGTTCAATGGGTTCACCATGGCCGGTCCCCAATGATTCGGTCAAACTACCCAGTTCCATGGTGTTTGACCAGAATCCATGAATCAAAACACATCAAAACAGCACTTTTTACAGGTTATAACAGGTTATAACATGTTATAACCTATGATGCATACGATAGCGGCATGTGTACTGGTCTCCAAAGTCTCCCCGATTGATTTGCATGATTGAGGTACCTTGAAAGTTAATGGAAAATGAACCTCATATCTTCCCTTTACTCACAAGGCCATTTTGGGGGTACCCACCTTCTTCAGACACACCCAAATATCATTGTTTTATATAAGTGGTCTTAGTTGCTTAGTTACATCATGTTATATCATGAAAGTTATATCATGTTATATCTAGAATCTACTGTATCCCGAATTTCCCATGATATTACCATTATGCATTATAAATCCCTATAAATATCTATAAATCATATTAATGAACCTTATGCTATCTATATTATTCCTAGCAGCTACATTTGTTGGACCCCAAAAGGCCGCCACCGTGAGCTACGGAGATTTTGTGGAGTGCGGCTCCGAAGAGGCCGCGGCTTTACTTAAAACGGCACATGGCAAAACAACGGGTGGTTGAAGGTTGAAGCAGCAAAACATGGCGGTATCATGGAGATCGAAGAAGATATTGATGAAATATTGATGACATATTTTTTTTTTCGGATCTCATGAGATATGGGCGAAGTATCCCCAAAATGGCCGAACATTTGAGGTTGATGAATTAATTCGGATTCCCCCTAATACTAAACCGGGCCTCCCAGCCCCTGAGAACAAACACCTGGAGGAGTTTTAGTATTATAGGCTAGGGGGTATTTAGTATTAGGGTGCGAAGCTTCCCCCTATTACTAAACTAAAAGCCTTGCCTTTATATATACAAAGTAACATGTTCTACTTCAAAATAAATTATATTCCCTTTGAAATTCTAATTAAAAATATTGCCAAAAATTGGATTTCGAAGCTTCCCCCTAGTATTAAAAACCTTAATTAAACAAAACATGTTTTTTTTCTGTGTCAAAGGACGGACCCCAACAAAAAACATCCCGGTGTTGGCTAGTAGGTACTATTAGGGGGTGAAACCCTCAAATGGGACCTTCATTCTAAATTGTTTTCTAAAGGGGATCAATTGAAAATCAAATTGGCCAATCTGAAACGTCCCCAAATTGGAAATGGACCCTCGTTTTTTAGTATTTTGAGTGCACTTAATAATAGGGGAAGGGGATTATAACAATTTATATATCCAGATATGCTTTACCATCCACGTAGTATGTATCCACAAATTTGAGGAATTTTGGGTGTAGGAATCCTTCATCAACTATGGCTATCCTATCTACAGAATCCTTGATGGAGAGATGGTGAAACATTGATTCCCCCAACATAGACCTGGAATCCATAGCAAGTTTTATGGTGGAAACTACTTGTAAGTTTCGAAAAGGTCCTATTTGGCAGTGTCTACATATGTCAATTTACTGGAGGGTAATTGATGATTTTCATATATTTTCATCATGATAATTTTATGGATGATAATGATTATGGATAAGTTTATCATGGATGATCGTTGTTAAACGATAGTGTTTGTTCCTCCAATCACCATGATCAATAAGTATCATTCACATATGTTCGCACTCCTGACACAGACAATGTTTCCGGCGTTAACTACAGTTGTTCCGTGAATATTTGGGAAGCCGAAGTGGTTCATAACTCCTCGGCTCTATCCCGGTGAATCAAAACAACTGCGGGCTTGATAATCATTGATACATGATTACATATATTACATGATCCTACCATCTAAGCTCCACAAAAAGTCAGCTTCGGTCATATGGGTGTGTCTGAAACTGGGTATACCTTTTCTTTCTTTCTTTCAAGATGCTGCAAAGTCTTGCTCGGCTCATGCACGTCAAATGACCTCAAACGTAGCAATCTGGCTGCACAATAGAATCAGCTACGAAGTCAAATGACAAAAATTGGTGCAGCTCGCTGGGGAGGGGCTCAACCCTCTCCCTAAAATCAGCGTATGTGCCCACTGACTTGTACACTGCGTCCGCAATGGCTGAATTAAGCCGCTCAGGATAGATCTTTGCCACAGCGGTGTTAAACACCCCCTCAGCATTTCGCCCCTTCAGTGCTTGGTGAGCACCAGGAGGATGATCAACGTCCTGCACGGCCCATGCTGGCAATCTCAGTCCAAAGACTCGGCATGCGAATGAGAAGGAATGTAGTTGGTTTCCTTGCTTTGCATCCAAACAGGCACTGGTCAAAGGTGATTACTTGAGCACAGTGAAGCCGTTTGAGCCATCGCACAACCTTGCTGCTCCAAATCGAGCTAGGTCTCTTGGAAGCAATCCAAACAGGAAAGGCTGGATGCTCCAGCAAAGCCATTCCACCCACCCGTGCCAATGCACAAATCATCGTGAGCATGAAACGCATCAAAATTGATCCAACCCTGGTTTGCCTCCAAGACTTCACAGAATTGTGTGGCAATCCACAAGGCCAGTCATGTGATCTCAGCGGGGGGGGTCCCCCTTCCAGATGCCTTGCTGCCGTAAACGTCTCACAAGGGGGACCCCCCCCTGCACCGCACACGGCACCAGAGTAGATGCGCTCTAACCAGAACTGTTTGCTGGTCTCCAAGGTAAGATCTCCCCCATCTTTCTGAATACAGAAGTCGACCGAAACACAAAAGATTTGGGTGTTTTCGAAATCCCACCTTGCCTCGATCTGATGTTGAATGTCCCCTCCTCTTCTATGCCCGCTGAAAAAATGTATGAAACATACCGTCTTGATGTGCAAGGCCGCGTGAAGCCTTGCAAGCCCACACATAGAAAACCGCCCTGCAACACCTTGAAGGTTTCCACCAGGTGACGTAACGACAAAGGGGATCACATCCTCATCTTCTGCATGCTTGCTAATGGGCTCCTCCACAGTCTCGACGCAGAAGCCTTCCAATGCTTCAAACATGGGACGGCTGTCAGGGGGTCGCCGCGCGGTCCACCGCTGCAGCATCAACCTGGAATCTGCGGAGTCGCACGGAGGCAACTTAGGCCCATGAGCCCGAATCACTGGGATCAAGGCCTTGGTTCCCAGCCAGCCCTGGTCTTTCATTGCTCTGGTATGGATCTTGTCCTCCTCGGCCATCTCCAAGATCATCTCTTGTGTCAATGGAGGGAAACACGCTCGCACTCGGCTGAAGCATTCCTCCACCGCTTTCAAATGATTAGCCAGTCGCGCACGATTCGTGAAGCATTTGGCACAGTTGGGGCAGGTGCCATCCACGGTATAATGAAAGGCTACTCCACGATAGCTGTGCTGCTTCATGGCGTGTACCGCTAAGGCTTTTTTGGTAGCAAAGTGAGATTGACACGTTTCACATGTCCATGGAGTGGCCTCTGGGTCCTTGCAGTTTAACTCGGCCAGACCTTCATCTCTGCGCAAGTCAGACTCAACCCTCTTCTCCCAAACCAAAGCTTCAGCACATTCTCTCCTGCATTCCCGACATGCCTTAGCGGCACGCTTGACTTTGAGGTTCCATTTCTCGTCTAGGCTAATGAACGTCCACCAGTCCTTCAGATCCGCATCATGTGAGAGGGTCAAACGCGGTCCCATGAAGGTGCAAAGCCACTTAAATGAAGTTCTGGTAGAGGCAATCCAAGAATCTTCACCGTGATCACCGTCATGAATGAGGTCCCAAAGCACTCTAGGACAATTTGACAGAAGCCTTGGCAAAAACCGAAGTCTCGCAATATGCAGTAGATCACTGGGAGGAAGAAGTCCAATCAGCCCACACAGTGATTCCGTGCTGAATGCAAAAGGTGGGAGTCCTTCCAGCTTGCTGCCAACCAATGGAACAACCATGCTCCGCATGGCGGATTCCCACATGCCCACCTCTTTTTGAGTGATTCGCGAAAGAGCGTGAACATTGAAAAGCATGCGAGACATCACCAGTGACTCAAACACCCGCACTTTGGCTTGAAGAGATACTTGCTTTCGTCGAAAGAAAGGCTGAATCAAAGGTCCCCAAGCCTGTTTGGCATTGCGAATCCGTTCTCGAAGAGCATGCCTTGGCTTTCCATCAGCATGAACCCACCCACCAAGGTGTTTGTAAGATTGAACCACCCGTAGTTGCATGAGGTTCTCACCAACAGTGATAGGCATCAGAAATTTGGAAAGTATCAACTGCTGCTTCGCCTGTTTCGCTCCTTTTCCAACAAAGGCTCTGAGGACTTCCGTCTTCCCGGCTTCCATATTGAGTTGCAGCCCTCGTTTTTCTGCCACCACACCCACTGCCTGAAAAGCCAATTGAATAAGCTCTCCCAGATCTTGCTGTGTAGGGGCACGGAGTAGCACTGCCAAGTCATCAACGAAGGCCACTTCACACCAAGCATGATCAGGAATGTCACGATAACGGTGAAGCTCATCTTGCGGCCGTGCTTCGCCTTGCCAGCTGGCTCTCGTGTTGCTTTGAATGTAATCGGTCACTTCATCCAACATGACCGTCATCAGCATATTGAAGAGAATATCGCCAACCGGGTCTCCTGGCCGAGTCCCTTTCGTAGTGAGAGCGACCTCCTCGATGCCATCAACTTGAAAGAAAGTGGCTTTGAAGAGGTCAGACAAGAGATACTCAGCATGCTTGGAAATATCACCAGTAGCATTATCCTCATCAGCTTGAGCAAGCAATCCCTGAATAGCCTCATGATCAATGCCAAATCTCTTCAATGCAGCGATAAGTGCAGTGTCATCGACAGGGCTCTGAAACAATCCTTGCCTGATCACCGTATAGAAGGCTGATCTGAAGTCAATGAAGAGCACTGCAGCTGGAGTTCTGGTCACAGCTGAATGCCTGAAGTGTTCCTGAACCAACAAGTGCGGTGTATCGGTGCCACATCCTTTCCGGCCCCCAAACTGTATATGCTTGATTCGTCCACTCCAAGCATCAGCGAGATGATCACGCAATGTGGAGTGGTACAGCTTGGTGATGACATTGTTGATGAAGATGGAGCGGTATCCTGTTGGGTCCGATCTCGGTAGTTTCCCCTTGTGAAGAGGTACTAACCGTCCTCCTCTCCACTCGTTGGGCTCTTTGCCTCTCAAGGAAACCTTGGTCGTGATCGCAGCAATATGGGCAATCATCGGCCCTGCTCCTGCTTTGAGCACATCAGGAGGAATACCATCTGGTCCTGGTGCCTTCCCACGTTTGATGGCTCTGACTTTTTGCGCAATCTGATCAACTGTCGGCACTGCGTCAAGGCTGACAATCTCCGGGGGCAAACCAATGGAAGATGGCATCATCTGCCTGAGGGAGTCCTTGGACATTGGTATTCCTCCTTCCACTTGTGCAAATTGGTGAAGCCACAGTCGCTGTTGCTCACGGTAGGAGCCAATAGGGTCCCCTTTTGGACCTTTGAGGAGAGGTAAAGGACTTCTTTGTCCGGTTTTGTGTGCTGGCCTTCCACCCAACCTTGACAAAAGCCGATAAACCAGTCGAAAATCGTGGAGTTCACCTGCTTCCTTGAGTTGATCAACCAGACCATCGTA